AGGCTCGTGTTGTGTTCAAGGACCCTGACCTTGGCCAGGAAAAACAGGCACTCGCTTGTTTAATTATTTTGCTGTCTAGATTTCTTTAATATTTTTCTTTTTTGCGTGTGTTTATGAATTACCTCGAGGGCCGTACCAAATGGTCTCGCGGTCCGTATACGGCCCGGAGGCCGGAGATTCCCCACCCCTGGTGTAAAGCAACTTAACCCACGAGATGAATCCTGTTCCAAATTTAAATTTTTCTAAAACTTTATATAAGTAGGACCATTCCACACAGTCAAAGGCTTTTTCCGCATCCAAACTTAGGATAAACAAATCCCCTTCCTGCTGTCTGGTAGAGTACATAATATTGAAGAGGCGTCTGAGGTTATGAAATGAATGTCTGTTTGGAATTAACCCAGTTTGGTCAGGGTGTATCAGTTTAGCCATATAGAGGCTGAGTCTCCTAGGTAAGGTCTTAGCAAGAATGTTCTGGTCTGTATTTAAAAGGGACACTGGTCTATATGATCCCACTTGTTCTAAATCTTTCCCTTTTTTGGAATCACTGTTATAGTTGCCTCGTTTAGTGTTGGCGGCAGCATACCAACCTCATATGCTTTCCTGTATATCCTCAACAAAATAGGAGCCAGCATATTGTTTAACTTTTTATAGAATTCATTGCACATCCCATCTGGCCCCGGGCTTTTGTCATTTTTTAGCGAGTTAATTGTCTTTTTTATTTCCTCGCATGTAATGTCCTTTTCAAGAGAGTCACGATCTCTCTGTTCTAATGTGGGCAGGTCACACGCATTTAAGAACTTCCGGTTGCGCATGGGCCTTAAAGTTGTATAAATCATCATAAAACCGCAGAAACATGTCATTGATATGCCTATGAGAGGTCAAGGGAGTGCCTTCCTCTGATTTTACCCTGTGAATGGCCCTATCGCTTTCCCTCTTCCGCAGCTGTCTCACTAGCAGTTTATGTGGTTTATCCCCAAACTCAAAATATGTCTGATTAGTCAAAATAAAGGCTTTAGAAATGTTCTCAGAAAGTATTTGATTGAGCTCATATTTAAGAGAAGAGATTTTACTGTGCAACTCAGTAGATGGTAGGGTGGCGTTTTCTGTATCCAGTTTTTGAATTTGTTCCTCTAATTGTGATTGTTTAATACGGTCCCGTTTTCTTTGCGATGCCTGGAAAGATATAACACACCCTCTTATGTACGCTTTAAAAGTCTCCCATAACAATATTGGTGAAACATCATCTTTATCATTTGTTTAGAAAAAAAACCTCTATGAGTCTTAATGTATTCACAAAATGGTTTCCTTGATTTTACGTCATGTGATCGGCTCTCCCGATCGGCCTTTATAGAGAGCACCGATCGATCGGCAGAGAGTGAATATCGGCCGATATTGATCGGCGGCCGATCGATCGGAGCATCCCTACCTAAGGCCTATCTTATTATGTTGTATTGGAGGGGGTGGGACATCTATGTGTTCGATTGAATTGAAGTCGGGAGAGGTGCATTTATTGTCATCGGATATTTTCTACACAGTCTGTGAACCGCGAGCGGCGAGCTACTGAAAAGCTGCCCGCGATCGACGTGTGGGAGACCCCTGGTCTCGAGAAATATATTCAAGTTGGTGCAGAGACTTCACGTGTGTAGTGCTGTCACTGTGAAGTTTAATGCAGTGATATTGTCACACCGAGCACAGACATATAGAGTTTAAAACGTGGTCATTGTTTGAATACGGAAGATATTGCTATTACATAGATTATTTTTGGTCACACTTTACAGGTGTAATGTGTAACATATCTTTCTATAAAAAAAGGTGCAAGTCTGTTTATGTGTGGGGGCTTTTTGCGGAAGGTCTTTGTAGTGCACTTTATAGCTGCATTGGAGGACATTGTCAGAATAATCACGTTAACATGCATCTCAGAACTGGTTCCCAATCTTCCTTTCTTGAACCCCCCATGAAAAGCTGAGCCCCCGTGTCCTAGTATGAGGGGCATCGGGCTTCTGCTGTGCCAAGCCCAGGAGAGCAGGGTGGAGGGGGTCCGGCTCACATTCTCTGAAAACACATCACACTGTTAGACATGTTCCTTCAGCACACAGATTTTTATTTGACTCAATCCCACATACACTGGCCTGCTGCCAGAAAGATGCTCAACTACGTTGACCAGCTGTTTTAGGAAATCCGTGAACCTTTAAAAAAAAAAAAAAAAAAACACTATGTGACCTGTTTCTAAAGATGTGCATCTTCATTGGGAAGGGCTTTGATCTGAGACAGGGTGGGAAGTCACAGAGTATGAGAGACTGAATAACACCCTGCTTTAATGAAAGATATTGAACAACACAGAGATTCTGTAGTGAATCCGTCACAATTCAATCCAGAACACAAGTTCCCCTGCATGGGGGGGGGGGGGTCGTCTGTGTTAAAGGGGACCTATCATGCAAAATGCACTTTTTGATGTCTTTTATACATAAATATGTGTCCCGGTGTGTAGGGCTGCACGATATTGCGATTTTTTTCCCCCCTGCGATATATATTGCAATATGAAAACATACAGGAATTGAAGGAAATACCTATTTTTTTTTCGCAAACCATCCTTTCTTGAACTTTAATGCTATACAATTGGTATTTTTTTAACTATATTTAACCGGGAGAAGGATTTTAGTCACGGACGTCTGGATCTTAAGTTATCAGAGCAACAAGCGGAGCTAGCTCGGTTAGCAGCGCCGAACTGCCCTGGAGAAACACATGAAACTACTTTATTCAGTGTTTTTACCTTTAATCACCGGGTCCGTTTGCTTTGGAGATTTGATTGGTGGTTTGCTGTGCATGCAGAGCCTGCATGTCACTCACTCAAGTACCCCTGACATGAGAGCCGCGCAAGTTTTCCTTTTGTAGCAAGCAGCAAAAATAATTGTAACATGATGTGTTTGAGTTAATTTGCCTACTTAATATCGCACGTCCATGCGATGTGAATATCGTGCATGCGCATATCGCGATTATCGTCATGACACGATATATCGTGCAGCCCTACCGGTGTGTCAGGGAACTCACTAAGTGTCAGAAAACAAAACCCTCTCTCTTGATGATCTGTTTGGTATTTTGAGCAAAACACATCATATACATGTTTTTTGTATATTTTTATATATCTGAGACCCATAATATATGCCTAAAAATAGCATATTAGGAGACCTTTAAGTGGCATATGGTTCACTTTGAAGACACGTAGTGGTTAGCTTTAAATTATATGGCGTTTATTATTATTATTTGAGTCTGTTGGTTTATTTTAGGTAAAGATGAGGGTCTCTCTCTTATTAAACCTTCATTTTTTACCAGGTAGGGTTAGAAATGTTCATACATTACATTTAATGTCTTTATTAGGTAGGCAGAGAGGTGACAGCAAATGAGGCAAGAGAAAATAAAGAATGAGTTGCAGGACAGATCCCAGGACAGCCAGAGGTTTGATTCTAGATGTTTTCAGAGAAGTAGACATGAGACATTCGACTGCATAGTGTTCATATGTCCTACAGCAGGGGTTCCCAACCCCCGGTCCGCGGACCGGTACCGGGCCGCAGAGGTGTTACTGCCGGGCCGCGAAATAGCTGTGAGTTTATCGTAATATTTGCAGAATTATAAATATATAAAAATATTTTATCATAATATTTTTTCAAAAAGTGTTTAATTTTCGCACCTATGCCACCAGTCATATTATTTCATCCAGTAGCTAGTTAATCTTTCACCAGAAAACCGTTGAAAATGGCTTTTATGATGAGGGATTCGGCGGCTCAGCCTTATAAGGTCTCCTCTCGTGCGCACGAGCATGTTACCGGTGCGCCAAGTAGGAAGAGGAGCGCACAGGAGACAACCGTTTGATTGCAGACGGTTATGTTTATGTGGGGAAATGGTGGTGCATACATTATTTGAGATATATTTCAAACTCGGACTTCATTTTAAGGACATGTCGGCCAGGGGTGTAGAGCTATTTGTTTAAACACCGGATTGGCAAAACAGAAGAGTAAACCAGTCTGCCTTGATCTATGAATTAATGTCCGGGACTCTCGGACCCGCAGCTGCCCGCAGCTGCTTTATAGACGGAAACCCTCCTTCACTTCTTAAAACGGCTGCAGCATCCGGAGGCAGCGGCACGTATACTCCGCTTCTGAGAAGTGCAGCACCAGTATGACTGTGTTTAACTTCATCAGAACAGTTTAAGAGTGACTGCAGGCTGCTACGTGTTAACCACACACACATCTACACACATCGAACTGCCCGATTACTCCCCCTTTTATTAGTTTTATGAAGGAGATGTCCAGTCAGTCACCAAGGCGCATGATGTGTGTGTGTATGTGCTCTGCTCAGCTCAGCTCTGTGTGTTCGGTGTGTTTGTGTCTGTCCGACACCGGCATTTGTTTTCAAATGTTTATGAACAGTAATTTACACACATATGGCTAACTCCATATATGCGGCTGTTCCCAAAATAAATTAGTTTAATCTTAATCTCGATGTAGTGCTAATGCTGTCGGAGTGCACCGGAACGAACGACACTATCATAATATCTTCTGAAAACAAATGCCAGTGTTCATAATGCGGCTTCTCCTCGTTTTCCCAGCATTCACTGGATTATCCGTAAATCATACAAACAAAACCAAAACGTTAATTTATCTGTTTTCCCGTTTTGGTTTAAAAACTGAATAACGTCGGTTTTTTGGTTTTCCGAAAAACCAAAAAATGACACCGGTTCTTTTTTAAACTTTGTTAATATGTTTTGGATGCATATTGTTCTAGTATCTGTTCAGGCTGTTACATACAATTAGCCTCTGTTGCTACCTGCTGGTGGTGAGTAAATATTAAAATCAGTTAAAATTGACAACCGGTCCGCGATTTTTTTTTAATGTATCTGCCGGTCCTTGGCACAATAAAGGTTGGGAACCCCTGTCCTACAGGACCTGGTTGGAGAACATTTGTATCCTGTATCCTCTAAGTGACTGATTTCTGTCTTTTCACAGGTGATGTTTCACCCATCAGTATGTCCCCCATCAGCCAATCCCAGTTCATCCCTCTGGGAGAAGTGTTGCTATTGGCTATCTCTGCTATGAACTCTGCTCACAAGGCTGTCACTCAGGAGGCCCTCACCGAACACCTGCAGACATGTTTCCCAGGTAACGCCAGCTCACACACCAACATCTGTCAAAAGCTTACACCCTCCATAAGCCTGTGTACTGATGCTCACCTGTAGGCTCCAGACAAAACTGTTTGTCATAAACGTGTAAGCAATTACATTTTGATATTCTTTATTATCCCAAAGGAAATTATTGTGCCAGATTTATAAAAGATTCACTACAATAAACATAGGACTAATAGTAACAATACTATAAAACTGTACACTATTAGTGCAGTAAAAAGAGAAAATTAAACAACAAACTTCAAGAAACAAAGATGGACAAGTAAAGACTGTAAGATACTGTACAGTGGGGAGGGGTATGGAACAGTACATCAACCCTAGTGGCAGATACATAATACACGGTATTATTGTTTCACAGGATATTGCAAAGCAGATCGTTTTTTTGTAATGATGATAAAGATATTGCACATAGTGGTGGTGTGGCAGATCTCAGTTCTCCTTACTGTAGGGGGAGGAGTTCTAAAGTATCTATATATATATATATATATATAAATAGTATGTGGTGTGTACCAAAGGCAGCATGGATGAGCATCAGTGAATGTGGAGGATGGAATCTTAGTGTTTTTACCCTGATATTGAATTGGACTTTCAGGACTACAGTACTGTGTCAGCCATAGGCGTCATTTATACTGTGGACGCTGGGGACATGTCCCCACCACTTTTGGAAATAGACCCACCCCTTAGCATTTGGATCATTTGGTAAATTGTTCTGAAAATAGCGTGCACAAAGAATGTTCTGCTTAATGCAGTGATGGTAACCCTACCACTTTAACAAAGGGACCATGGTGTCAGCCACAAATGTGTGACTAGTCTTCAACCAATAAAATGAGATCTGTGCCGTGAGAGCCCTGAGTACAAATGTGGAGGGGTCCAAAAAGCAAAAGCCCAGCTCATTATTTCTATTCTAAAGCTTTCAGTTTATTCCGATGAAGCATATGTGAACAGAAGCTAAACTGTGTGAGTATTTCTGAGTGAGATGTGCCTGGACCTCAGGGTAGTGAGTGTTGCTTTGAGTGAGATGTGCCTGGACCTCAGGGTAGTGAGTGTTGCTTTGAGTGAGATGTGCCTGGACCTCAGTGTAGTGAGTGTTGCTTTGAGTGGAATGTGCCTGGACCTCAGGGTAGTGAGTGTTGCTTTGAATGGAATGTGCCTGGACCTCAGGGTAGTGAGTGTTGCTTTGAATGGAATGTGCCTGGACCTCAGGGTAGTGAGTGTTGCTTTGAATGGAATGTGCCTGGACCTCAGGGTAGTGAGTGTTGCTTTGAATGGAATGTGCCTGGACCTCAGTGTAGTGAGTGTTGCTTTGAATGGCATGCCAGCTGCTGCTCCGCACGCTGCTTTAGCTTCTATTAAGGATTATTATCGGGGAATTTTACAATATATTCAAACATTCAGTAGGTTAAAAAAGGTTTCACATATTATCAAGATAATTAAGAAAAAAAAAATGTCTACTACAGTTTCCAAAACTCAAGTAATAATTCTACATCTTGTTTTGTGTGACCAATAACCCAAATATATTCACTTTACACATGTGTGAAAAGCAGCAACATAAGTTTAAAGCTAGCTCCTGAGAAGAGAAAGCATATGTTATACAATAAAGCAATCCTAATAATTGTTGCTTGTAATTTGTCAATCAACATATTGATCAAATCAAATATTGATCAGACAGTTAATAGTAATGTTCCATGGCTGACCTTATCTCTATATTACATGGGTTTCCCTTTTTAGAGAACTCCTCTGTCTTCTCATGTCACCAAAGAAACCGCATTTGTATGATGTAATGATAGGAAACAAAAACACACACACACACACACACACACACACACACACACACACACACACACACACACACACACACACACACACACACACACACACACACACACAGCTGTCTGCCCAGCTGCTATGTAATCTATCAATTAGTTTTGAATGTGTCAGTCTGTGCTCAGTGGTCTCCTCAGACTGTGAATAAAGCATACCTGTTCCCCCCAGCTTTATATCCCCTACACACAGTCAGCCTCACGCTTCAGTCCATCATCTCCTACTGTATTTACCACCTAGTATCCCAATTTGAACAACAACTTGGACATTCTTTGTTACTTTAAGGGACAGTGCCTGATTTGTGAAATATGTCTGTTTGATTTTGATTACAGTCTCATGTCTGTACATTCAGGACTACATGTTGTTACAGGTGTAGGGTGAGCAGTCTCATGAAGTTCTGTTGTCCTGAGGAGGCTGCCGGATGTGGATGCTCACAGAGACTGGACGGTGTATCTAGAAGAATCTACTTTTACTAGTCCTCCTAAATAGAAATTAGAGTTCAAGCTAAGTTTATAGTCAGGGGTGCACACAACTTTCTCAGTGAGGTACCTGGAGTTAGTGTTTGGTACTCCAACTTCTGGCTCCCCTCAAAGTTCCCACGAAGCCCTCTGTATCGCGAATGTCAACGGGGGGGGGGGGGGTGGGCGATCTAACCGCCTTCTGGAAAAGCTTCACAAGTACGTCGGTACGCAAATGCGCTTTGTGACACAAGTGCCGGTACGCATTTCAGATTGTTGCCGCGCATGTACCAGTTATGTGCACCCCTGGTTATAGTCTAGTTGCCAGCTCATAGAGCCCTATAGTGAACCCGGAAATGTTGAGTACCCCAAAGTTTTATGTTAGAAATGTATAGTGCGGGTCTCCAGCACATGGAAATTGCTGGATGACAACCTGCATATGTTGGACAATTTGCACAATTAGCATACGTTGCATTAATTAGCATTATAGCCTATGGGAACAAAAGTTAAAGTGGACCTATCATGCTATATTTAAATGATATATTGTAGGGCCATACCTATATAAGGTATATTTATACGTTTCTGTTTTCAAAATACCAAACAGATCATGCATTTTAGCCATGCCTCATTTCGCTCTATTTGCTGTTTGCTGTCTACGGGGCTGATTCTGTGAGCTGCAGCTGACCACGCCCCCCTGCAGGAGAGGGGAGCCGTGCTCTGATCAAGTCAGAAGAGGGGGAGAAAAATAGATCTCCGTCCTCCGTGTTTTATTATATTATTATAGGCCTATAGAGTCGTTATTCATTTGTTTTAAAGCTCAATAAATAACAAAGAAGACCTTTGACCGGCACTTTTCTAATTTTGTCCGGAAGATTTAAACTTTAACGGACATCTTGACCGGCGAAAGAAAACCTAACTGAAACTCTGCCGCACGGTCCCCTCGTTCCTTGGAAGAGGCGGAGAGGTGGGTGTTTGTCATCTGCTCGTGGACTAACTGGAGAGAATTACAGTGCTTGCCTCGACGGGGAGGGATTGCATTGAATTAAAGCAGCGGGAGCGATTGCATTGAATTAAAGCAGCGGGAGCAAACGCTTGCCTCGGGGAGGGAGAAAAAAAGCCACAGCGGAGAATAAACAGAAGGGTAACCATGGTAACCATGCGCGGGAAGTCTTCTTCCCCTGATAGGTGGAGAGTTGGCCCAATAGCCGTAGCGCCACTTTACTGACGTCAGTAAAGTGTTCAAATCTGGATCAGTTTTTATCGGATCCGTTGCAGCCCCTTTTTTAGAGATTTGGGTATGGAGGAAAATAGAGAGGGTTGTGTTTTCTGACACTTGGTGAGTTCCCTGGAACACCGGGGACACATATTCATGTATAAAAGACGTACAAAAGTGCATTTTGCATGATCGGTCCCCTTTAAGAAATGGCTTGGCCGATTTGGACAATTTTGTTTTGGGGGTTATTGAGGATGGTGAATCCATTTCTGACATTTAGGATCAAGAATGGCAGTTTTAACCAGAAAATGCCAATATTTGTACTCTTATTTTGTGGGCTGATTTTGTTTAATTTTGGGTTGATTTGGAAGATTTAGGGGACTCTGGATCATTTGGATTGAACAGATTGTCTATGTATTGGAAAAACAATTCTCCACAGGAAAGATAATAGCTTTCATCTTGTGCTCTCTGTATCCAATGATATCAGCCCACTGAGAGTACAAATATGGCTAATGGATAAAACCGCCATTTTTGATCCTGAAAATGTCAGAAATGGATTCAGCATCCTTAATGACCCCCAGAACCACTCCAGAATTGGCCAAGCCATTTTTTGTTACTATTGTTTACAAAGGCTATAATGCTAATTAACACAACTTATGCTAGTTGTTCAAATTGTCCAATTGTGCGGGTTAGCATCCGGCAGTTTCTTAGCTGAGGACCCGTACTATACATTTCTATCATAAAACTTTGGGGTACTCAACATTTCCGGGTTCACTATGCTGGCACCTAGACTATTAAAGGTCCCATGTCATGGCCATTTCTACTGATCATAATTCCATTGTTGAGGTATACTAAAATAGATTTATACTGTGCAATTTTCCAAACTCTCATACAGCATCTCTGTATAGCATGTGTATTCACTCTCTGTCCTAAACGGCTTGTTGGAGCTCCTGCCCCCCCCTCCCTGTGAGCCCAGTGTGCTCCGATTGGTCAGCTCGGCCACTCTGTTCTGATTAGTCAACCACCAGAGAGGCTCCGCCCATGTCTAACAGTGCTTTTTTCGGCTCGCTCTGAGCGGAACATCAGTTTTACAATGGCGTCGGTACAGCCGTATATGTTATACGCTAACTAACCGAACTGTACCTACAACTGTTGTTATTTAGGTGCACTTGTGGAAACTGCGCCATGATGCCTACCGAAGTGGAAAACGTCTGTTGCAAAGAAATTAGAAAGGTAGCCTAGCTGACAGTTACAACATTATGTAGCCAGCTAGCTGAAAACACCAACAGTAGCACACAACATTATATGCCAAGATATACACCATACATACCCCTAGGGATGGGTACCGAGCCCCAGTATTAAACGGGCCCCGGGGCTGAATTATTAAAGACCGTGGTACCGTTAAGCTCCGACGTTATCGGTCTTTTTATCGGTACTGGAGACATCTAAAAAATATGTCATGTGTATTATTGCTACACAAACATT